TACTGAAATCGAGATAGACCACACCCACTGCGTTATGTTATGCGAATGTTATGATAAATTTAAACTTGGACTTTGCCATTTTCATCTGTAGCATCATAATGCAAAAGGACCCTCTAAAAGTGGTACGTCTGAGACTTCTACTCCTTTGTTTCAGATTTATGTAATTAAATAACGATTCTTCATCTCAAAATTCAGCCAATTTACAGTGATCATCCTCAAACCAAGAGCAGTGTTGGAGGGAAAGGGACAACGGAGGAGAGAGCAAAGCAAAATACTCTTTCATTTTTAGTACTGCTGTTTAGTTTTAGAAACAGATGAATTTCTTCTTCACCCTCCTTAACAAGTGTAAGTTTCAGCTCCCCTCACCAGCCTTCTCAAGAGGTGACAGGCACGTCCAACATCTTTTATTTTTTGCAGTGGTGCACATTCAGGACACTCTATGCTCATTCCAGACAGATAAACATTTGGCCTACAGGTTTCACTTCTAGCACCAAGTATTTTTCTCCATCTTCTAAGCTCGCCTTGCAAAGGAACCTAGTTACCTTCTATCTTAAATAATCAGCACTGGGTACTGATAACCCTAGGTGTAACAAGGTGGAGGAAATATTTAAGGTATTACACAAGGAGATGTACCTATAAAGATGTACCTATAAAGATTTTAACTAAACACTCCTCAAAATCCTTACACTGAATATATCAGGCTGAAAAAGATTTAAGCCTTACCACCTTTATCTTCTTCTGTACTGACAATGGGCTATCATAACAAATGATCTTGTAAAACTAGAACTGTATTATATGATTACAAAGGTCTTTGCAATTTTCTGGTATCCATGATAGGAATTCTCAAACTAGAGCCATGCAGCCTGCAAACTGCCTGGAGAGTTTGCTGGGCCCCTGACTTGCCACTTCCCATTTTCAGCCAGTGAACTGCACTAACAGAAATTAAGATATTCAGTACTTTCCTAATATTGCCTTCTAATACAGGAAACTGCTGTAAACACTCCAGGAGTTACATTTTCTTCTCACGAAAAGGAAGTGGTCTGCCTAACAGTTAATCATGAAGGTAGGTATTAACAAAATTATTCTGTTGGTCAGAAAAGTCTGATAACCAGCAAATCAAAGGAAGCATTTCTTCTTTCTTGGGTAGTCCAGAAGTCAACATCATAGACTAATACTTACTACACCTTTTCCTAGGTACTTAAAATGTTACAAGTGAAGAATTTTCCTGCCTTGATTATTACTCATGGCCATCCAATTGTGAAAGTTTTAAGCTGAATTAATTTAGAAAGAAAACTGTGTGTTTTCAAACACCACACTGTACGTGCAAAAAGAACAGCCAAAATCAAGCATTTCCAGTTCCAGTTTTTCAGGCAAGAAGATAAAGACAGTGATGCTACTGACTTATCTGACATACAGGATTAGCAACAAAAGAACAGAGAGTGTGCCCCCAAACTAGGAGGTCTGGCAGTGGGGATACACCATACTCTCAACTCTCTCCACCTGCCACTTATTCAATACCAGCTGTATCAGAGCAGACATCTGAGACCCACTGATCAGTCCAGAATCTGCCACCCTGACTCCAACTGAAGCTTTCCTGACCAACAGTTGTGTTGAAAAGGCAGCCTCTGAGTCTTAGCAAGGAAAGTGCAAGTACCAGAACCTACCTTTAGACAAAGGGACGCTCCACTTAGTACTGGCTGCCTGTACTGTCTGACAGCGCAAGCACATTTGTGCAGAAAGAACAGAACCTACCTTTAGACAAAGGGACGCTCCACCTAGTACTGGCTGCCTGTACTGTCTGACAGCACAAGCACATTTGTGCTGTTCTTTTTACTAGGCCAATGTGACTCTGGATATTAAGTCATGCTGGCACACACCTCTTTGTATGATAGAGTGAGCAATAACAAACTAGACACATGGCTGCAGACGGCCCTTCAGAGTTAAATCCGACTTGACTCAGGAGCTAGCTCCAAGTTTGAAAAGAAGATGCCAACAACATATTTGTCGTTTGTCCAGCATTAGCAAGACATGCTTCTAAATATATAAACTGCAACCCAGTATTATCTTGTGAGTTAAAAAAATGGTTGCGTAAGAGGCTGCAGGTTTTTTGACTTACCAGGAGATGGCGGCTGAATCTTAGGTTGTTTCTTAGTATCTCCAGTGCTGAAGACTTCCGGAGGGGGCTCCTCCCCTCGCTCAATCTTGCACTCGAAGGCAAAGAGGTACTGAATGTATTGTTTTTTCAGGGAGCTGGCTGCGCTGCTCGAAGTGCCAACGTTCAAGGTGGTTGCCAGCTCACGCCACTTCTTGTTTTTATTAACCTAGCAAAATAAATGGCAGAATCATTGGTTCACAGCAAAGTGGTTTGTTTAAGTCAGAAGACAAAAAAGGGGGGGAAGAAAAAAGCAAAAAAAAAAAAAAGCACTTAATGTCTTGGTTTACTTTTTTTATTTTCCTCTTTTAACTAATGCTCATTACTCCCACACACAGTAATGCATAGACAGCATTTACAGTTATAAAACCATTAAGGAACCTGCTGATAGCTACATAAAAAGCTTTGCTTGCGGAGAGTCTTCTGGATGATGCATCTTCCAAATGCCTTGCGCTCTTTCAGGGCCTATGCTCGTCAGTTAGCAATCCATCTCCAAGCAAATGCACGCTCGGTCTCCCTTCTCTCCGACACCCACCCGCACCCACTCCATTCTAATTAAAAAGCAGCTTCTAAAAACTAATTTAGAAAGCAATAACAGTGTTTTTAAGTGTTTGAGCATTGAGACGAAAAATAAATTTTTCTCAAAAATAGCCACCAGCTGTCAAACAGTTCAGCCTGCAATTCCTGGTTCAAGTCCTTTCACTTTAGAGTGTCTTGCAGGGACAGATCAATGATCCTTTGGCTAGATGAGACTAGATGTGAGGCAGAGTGAAGCGAGGCCCCTTAATTAATTAAGGCAGACTTCAAACACCCAGGGCTAGTCCAGCAATACTCTGTATTACAGTGCTGACTGCACAGCTCTGCTGCGAGTCTTGTTTGGAGCATAAGGCTGAAAATATCGAAAGCCTCTGTTCATGAGTTCCTCTAACACCGCTGTAATAACCATGAAGTTCATTTGTCACCCTGGATGATGCCACTGCCTTGCCCAGCTGTACCACTCCTAGCAGCCAGTATTTTTGCTGCAATACCTGATGCCCCAGAATTCACTCAACCACTTGTGCAATTGCTAGGTATGATCCAAGGAGGGGAGGCAGCTCTGAAATAAACAGGCTTTAAATAGCTGAGTATCTCAGCTTTTGTTGGGGAAGAATCCGATTCTTGCGAGCTACTTGCCCGGAGGCCTGAGATTTTAACGGCTCCAACTTAACTTGTACAGCTACAAAGGTTATCATTAGCCATACTGTTCCTAAGCCTGCGTGCCAGCAAAGGAAACATTTCTTAGGTTTCTCTCAGTGTTTAATAACACCGTAACTGCTGCCAGTCAGCAAAGATCTTTTGGGGATAGCATTAACAGCAAGCAGGTTGGCATGGCTATGCAAAGTGCCTTTATTTCTCTGGTACATCCTGCAAGAACTCAGGAGTTAAAGGAGACATGATTTTAATAAACTGCCCCTGTTGAGGCTTGAAATCCAGTTATACAGCCCTTTGTGCCTACTGACTTAGAGCTAAGTGGTGTGTAATGAACACATTGCATAATGCAAACAGAAACATTCATGCCTAAATGCCCAGTACATTGGCATTTAAAAGAAGACTGCCAACAGCTGGTCTGCTCATGTTGGGACTCCATCAATTGCAACTATTCAGACAAAGAACATGCACTGCTGCTGCACAGCTCCACTCCCTGTCACTCTCTGGGCAGAATCATGGGATGTGGAGTGCAGCAGTTGGAGCAACGGTTTGTTAGGAGAGGATCACACAGATGCACTTAAATAACCCTCAGTAAGCAAAACTCTGCACCTCTCAGTAACCCCAAACAGATAAACATGGTGACCACTCATGTGGGCACACCAGCAAAACCAGGAGTCTTTATTTTCAGTGTAAGTTTTTACCAGTACTGAAACACACACATTTGTAACTCAAGCTCTTTCAAAAATCAGTCTGTGTGAACAGTATTTATTCTTTAGCAATGCATACTGTCTGTCACGGTCCCAAAATAAAATAAATTTCCATAATAAGGAAATATTAATGACTCTCTAGAATATTCCATCTACCCCCCATCTTGCTTAATTTTTGGTGCTAAGATCATACTATGGGCACCATCACGTGGTATGAGGCAGAGCAGCTGCATGATACGATTTACCTGTAATAAAGTTTCTGAGCTAAAAGTAATCAAATCTTTATGATGCTGGGGGGCATGAGCTGATCACTAAAAACGTCAAGATAACATCTCTTACCCATATACAGCATTTAACAAGTGGCAAGGTGAACTATATTAGGTTTCTCTGCCTTCCTTTAATAACAGGACTAGCTAAAACCTCTGGACTTGAAGGGCCAATGATATAATTCTATAGTCAAATCCTATGTTCTATTCAAAATAGCACTGAAAACGGTACTAATTGATGTTGGACTTTTCTTGAACTAACCATACGGATTATCAAAATGTGCTCTCTTCCTGAGGATCTGGTTTGTTTGCCATATTTCTGAGCTCAGATTTTGTAATCAGTGTAAAATTATATCTATTTAAGTATCAAATATTATCTGTTTTATATTAAATACTGCATATACATATTTATCTACATAGCTATGTTTAAGACCTCACCTTGCAAAGCACTGAACATCCACAGATGTCATTAAATCCACAGAAAATTGAGTCTCAACACTCCACAGTAGCTTCTAGCACCTAGCTAGAGTGATCCCCTAGGTGCAAGGCATGCTTTGTAAAAGCATCAGGCAGAGATTTCAAATTACCGAATCTAAGGCTGCAAATACTGAACGTTTTCTCCTGCTTTCCCTTTTGATGGTGCTAGACAATGAAACATTTAAATTTGCTCTGTGGTGGTCCATTTTACAGAACTCACAAGTAATTTCCAAACACCCCTTTGCAAAACTTCCAGTTAACTGGTGAGAACACAAATCAAAGCTTCTTTCTCCCACATGTGACTTTTCCATTCTCAGCTCTTCCTGCTTTCATTTTCCTTCATCTCAATTAAGTAATTCACCTTTTCCTTGTAATCATTATGTTTGTAAGGCAACCCAAAATAACCTGTAAACATTTTCCAAACACAGGGAAAGCACATTCTGTATCTAAGAAATAAATGCACCCCACAGAGGTATTCAGTGATCAAAGGTTTGGGATGAAGGACTGTGTTTCAATAATGTATCTGCCAGTTCTCTGGAGAGATGAACTAATTTGTCCTAGAGGCAGTATCCTTATCTGGGAAGGATAGATTTCAAAATCTCCTTTTCCTTTCAGGTTTATCATCTGTTTCTTATTTGTAACTTTGATTCAACTGCCTTTTGCGCTTTTCTTCTCATAGTGGCATTACTGGATTCCCCTGAAGAGGTAACAATTTCATCTGTCTATAGAAGTGGTCAATTTTGATTCAGACTTTTGGATTTTTAGGGCAATTATGCAGCCAAAAATGAACTCTAGACAATACCAAAGCACGAAACTCTATTTTCTTCAACAATGTTGTCAGGGCTGAAAATGTAATGGTGTAACCATCAGGAAATACTTGAGAAAAAACACGCCTATCGCCTTTCCAAAAGGTTCACTTTCATGCACCACTTCTCACCTGTGCCAAACCTCCAATCTCTTTGACGCAGACATAGAGCCTGAACAGGTCCAGGGGCTTCTTGCCCACAGCTGGCAGACTGGCCACGGGCGTGCCCCTCTCCTCCATGAACGTGAGGTACCGATCTACCCACATCTTGCGCTCCGGCTCATTTCCTAGTTCATAGACTTTTGTGATCTTCTCTCCAGTTGTGGTAGAGGAACTTGACTTCTAAATCGCAAGAAGAAAAAAGAGTTGGGGGAAGGGTGGGAGGGGGAGGGAAAAGAAAGTAAGAAACTCACAACACTGAAAAAGAGAAGATGTCAAACAAACTAAAGCTATCACACAACAGTCAGGAATGAAGGCTACTAGTTCAGGCACAAACAGTACATTCTGTCCATATACGGAAAATTCAGCTTTTTAAATAAAGGGCCCAAACTCCCCATTTTCATATTTCTTTCACTGATGTGAACTTTGGATCCCAGAAGGCAAGTTTCTGATGTTGCCTCATGTCATTTTAAGAAGAGGTAGCTTTCACATAGTGCTTCTCATCCACTTATCTCAAACTGCTTTGCAGGCAGTAATTTGGGTAAAATTAAAAACAAGTTTGTCCCACACAAGTTTATACAATCCTAAAACCAAACCAAATCAACCCTCTCCTTGCCCCCCAAAAAGGGGCTAGAAAACCTGAAAGTGTTCCTCCAGAACAGAAACTGCACAAAAGGAGTCTAAAGCTTGAATCATCACAAACTACTACTCCGAGGAGTAGTACTCTTTTTAGAGAGTCACAAATGGTTATGCTTTACTACCTCTTCACACCACTGCTGGCCAAAAAGCAAGATGAGCAAGGGTGCCTACAGTACAAGGAGACGAGTGGCAACACTCTTTGTGAAATGCCAATTAGCTGCCCGAGCCAATAATGCTTATGAGTAGCTACTACCCTCCTCCCCTGGAAGAGGACAGAAGATAGGCATCTCACATGTCCTGCCTTGCAAGGAGAACGTGTATAATGAATGACCTGGGAAAACCAGGGATACACAGCAGTCAGAGCCAGAACCACCACCAGGAAAAGTGAAAGAGGTGAAAAGAGCAGAATTCTTTCTCCCATGGCAACAATGCAGGAGTGAACCTGTCCTGCTGCTATTTGGGCTTTATAGCTACGGAAAGCTCACGTTATCTTGATGCCCTTCTCTTCTCTATGTGGAGATGGCAGAAAGCACTGAGGCTGCTATGTAAGCTGTAACTTCTCACCATATGTTTTCTGTGCAATGTAACCTGTGAGCTGGGCTCTGTGCCATGTGTGGATGGACTGTGGCCTGTCCAAGCTGCCTCTGACCTGAGAGCAGAGAGGGGCTGCTGCTACTGCAGGAACACCCTCCTGCCTGCAGAAGGTGAAGCGATTTCCTCAGCAGTGGAAGACGGGAGTGGTTCAGAATTAAACATAAGAGAAGAAGATTGATACAAAGCTTTGGGAAAGGAACCAAATATGTGAAGGGAAACATATCCTTTATGTCTGTATAGTACAATCCCACTTCGCTGTTGATGGCAGTAGACACTTCTTTAAACTCATCAAGTCAATCACTCTATCCTTCCTTTGCCTTTTCCTTTTCCTTACTCTGAATAGGAGACAGCACTATTCTGAAGTAACAGGAACTTATTTCTAGTTGAACATCTCTAAAGAAGACCCCAGCTGTACCTCACGGATGCTACAGAACCACCACTTTGTCCATGTCCCCACATAGCGCTGGTGGGGACTGGCACTAAACACCATGAAATATGCAGTGGGGTAGCATCCAACTGCCAATGATTTTAAAAGCATTGCCACCATTCATCTTGCATGTTAGCCTAGAAAATATGACAGGCTCTGTATCTCCCTCCAGCCATTAGCTGAAACTTGGCAACACTGGAGGAGAGCCAGGAGAAAAGAGATGTGAAGCCAAAGGGGGTGACCCAGCATGAGCCATTGCTGTTCTTTCCAGTGAATGGGTATTCATTTTAATTAAATAAATAGCCTCCTGTAAGGTTTTCTGACTTGCTTCCTGATACTGTAACTTCTCTTGCAGTAGTCCTTCCTAACACACAGATATTATTATCTTTCTTACTTAGAAATGAGGTGCACTCCTGAACTTACTTCAGCCAGATTCAGTTGTGTTACAACTGCTACTAAAGTCAGAGTCAAGGCTGAATTTGTTTTACTAATACGCAGTGGTTGGCAGGAAAGTACCTTCGACACGAGTTCGGCAGATGACAGAATGAAAGCACAACTGATTCCGTAATGGCAACCAGTTTACACAAAGCACCACGTGCTATGTATATATGGGTGTTCAAGGGTATCACTTTAACTCTTTTCAACAAATACACTTTGTCAAAGATTTTTTTGGGGGTGGGTGGAGAGAGGGAAGCAGGCAAGTCATGTTTCTACTAATTGATTTTGTACTGAGAACAGATACACGATCACATATGCTTGAACAGCTGAATGAACTGGAGTTGCCCCACTACCAAGTGCAGCCAGAACAAAGTTACTCTGCTGCTCATCAGAATTAATTTTAATTCAACACTCATGAGGCTACAGAACTCTAATAAAAACGAAGGTGGGAAATTTCAGCTTTTACCCGGTAAATTTTGTACGTGTTTATATTCTAACTTATGAGGCAACAAAATAGTTTCTATTTCATTTTTATGGTAGTTCACAATTAAGAATGTTCAGATTTACCAGTTTTACATTTTCATTTTCATAAGGCAAGATTCTATTTTTCAAAATGGATTCAGAGCAGAATGGAAACCAGTTAAGAAATTTTCATTCTGGGTTTTTCTATGATACATCTCAAATAATGTTGCTTTTCAGCAGTGTGGCAGCAGGCTCTAAAATGACAGTATAATCTGAAAACTTTTCACAGCTTACATAAGGTACGAAGTGTTTCTTACTGTGTGAGCTTTCAGGTTGTCATGCTTTGTAAAATGGGTGCAATTTTCTTCTAAAATGAAATGTTAACTTTAGAAGAATGCACTGGAGGGAAGAATGCTATTCCTCAAGAGTAAAGATATTTTTCACTTCTCTATTTTTATAAATGTAAACATATAAAAATGACAGATATGTGCAAGCTAGTCTACACACAAACAAACTTCAGTTCCACACAGGCAGGTTCAGCTGGAAGCCTAAATCTGCCTATAGGTAAATGTTAACCCTCAGAAAATAAGGGTTTATTACAAAAATGATCCCAGAAACACACTGTTAACTAAAATGAGTGCATGCTGGGCAATGCTGGAAGAATACAGATCACAAGCTTCTGTTGGGTTTGTTGATACTTTTGGTGCTAAAAGAATGCTAGTGCAAGCATGTGGCACACACCTTTACCAATTTATTTGTATCCTACTCTGCCCTCAATCCCTAGCACTCTTCTACATTATATGACTGGCCATGTTTAAATGGGTGATTTAAAAACGCCACCAAAGTATGTGGCTACCAAAGCCAACTCCCATATTAAATCTGTTGAGCCCCATACTTTATTTTCAATACACCTACCAACTATTAAAACTGCATTATATACAGACCCTGGTATGGTAAGTCTGCAGAGTCCTTCAGAGCAACACAAATTTCTGTAGGAGCTCTTTTCAAATTAAGGCAGTGGGCAGTTGTTTCTGTACATATCTTAAAGCACCTGTATTTATAGAACTATCTACTGTTCACTTCTCCCACTTCAATAAAGAATTTGCCAATATTACATTTATTACACAGACCTATTTTACTATAGAACAGAGTGTGCATACACAGGCAGCAAAAACTGTCGAAGTCCAGTCTCTGGCAGAGGCTTTTGCAGGACAATCCTCTGTCAAGACTTCCTCCTGAAGGACTCTGCAGAGCTCTCACAGCTACTCCCATGGAGATACAGTACTATTTAGGTGTATCCACTGTCATGTTCATGGGTACCTATGGACAGTGAACAGCATTTTATGGGGTTTTCATAACCTACTGTTTTATTCATGTTGCAGTGACCCTGCATAGTTCACACTCACACTTGGTATTTCTCTTTTAGAATTTTAAAGCTATCTTGACACTGCCAGGGATGCACACTGTGTGCAAAATTAGCACAGCAGAAGTGTCCTTTTACTGATGTACCTGAGAAGCCCTCAAATCATAATGTTCAATTCCTTCTCCACATTTTCTCATGCCTCACTTCCATATAAAACTGCTGAAAGAGAGGATTCACTTAGTAGGATCACAAGGATACTGTGAAGCGAAGCACAGACCATTCACCCTTGCTTTTATCCTCTGCTAGAATGGAGAAGTTGTAGCACGTGAAGCAGCTTTGGGATTTAATGAACAAATTCAGGCTGTTTTCAAGTGTAACAGAACACCTGCAATCAATCGTTCCAGTCTATGTCAGGCTGCTGTTGAAGTTGATGAAGTTATCCAATGCACTGGCTGGCCTTCATAGGGAAAAAGGGATCAGCTAATTTACAGCACTTATTTATCCATATCTATGTCCCAGGAAGCTAACTGAAGCTAAAGATGGAGCATCATTTGGACAGAAAGGCATTCAGAAGAAATTGAAAGCACAAACTTTCTCAATTTACTTTTCCAATGCTATACTGTGGCATATTTACATGGCAAAAACTCCATACGTGTTCACCGTGACTCCAGGATTTGTTACACAGTTTATGCAATGAGCTCAGGAACACACTATCATTTGGTAGAGGAAGAACTCAATGTGTTACACTGCCCGTGCAATAACTCTCTTGCTTTCCTCCAGAAAATTGCCCAAACAAGCAATACCCAAAACATTACTACAAAGAAAACTAACAGTTTTTGGTACCACACTTTCAGATATACTGTTAAGAAGAAGATGGGACTTTGTGGGAACAAGTAACACCAGCTGCCTTCTGAGACTCAAAGTCGCTGCCAAATAAACATCAAAACATTAAGGTGGTGCATTTCATGCCATGCTGTCCCTTTGCTCAGGGGATTCACTAGATGTCTGGTTTTTGGATGGGTAGATCTTTTTTCCCTGCAACTGGCCTTCCTGTTTGCCCTGAGACATACTCTTCAGTGTATCACTTTGTGAAAATTAAATCGTTATCAAAGATTTGTTGCTAATTTAAGTGCATATTAACATTGGAAAAAAACTCTTTTATATTCCTCACAAGAATATATTTCAGTATTTTTCTACAGAGAAATTATGATCATTACTACTTTTGGCAGAAAGAAAAAAAAAAACAGGAACAATATATATTTTTCAAACTAAAAAAAAAAAACCCAAAGCAAAAATGACCAAGCTGACATTTGGTCCCCATAGGCCACATCAGCTTATGTCTGCATTCTCTTTTCTATATATGTATATAGATTTTTTAAGTGTATATATACAGATATACATATGATGAAATTCATTTTCAGCTCCACACATCTCTCTCAGGTTTTCCTTTACAACCTGTATGAGAATGACTAAACAGTGTTAATCTAAAAAATAGTTTTCTAAAAACATATATGCATCATCTTTTTTTCTACCTGCAATCTGGGTTATTTCAAAACAACTGAATGAAGCACATCAGAAACAATTTTGGTTTAGACTGTGCCCTGATAACCTAATGACTGTATTTCCAAATACACAATTCAAAATTTAAAATGTTTCAAAAATACACATGGTAGCTTTTTTGTGGTGCTCAGCCTACAATTTAAACTTTGATGGATATTAATTTCAACATGTTTTGGTTTGGTTTTGTTTTGTTTTTTCTAAATAATCCTAGCAAAGACCAAGTGCAGCAACCAGAGTGAAGTCAGTTGTGTGAAGGAGTTTGGGCCCAGGAACAGAAATGGAATTGTCCTTAAACAACACAGTCAGCATGCTGGGAAGCTGATACATTACAGGAAGGATGTTTTCTTCACAACAACTGCTGTATTACCAGACAGCACACTTGCATGATGCACGCAATTTTACTCTTTCTTATTTCAAAGTACTGTTGGACAAATTTTGCCCTTGGATAAGCACACTCAGGCCCCACTGAAGCCAGGCAGTGGAACTTATAGTCATGTGTCCGAGAGCAGAATTTGTACCCATTGTTATCAAGAAAGAAAACTGTTTAGTGGATAAATAATGAAGAAAAGGAATTTACAAAACAAACAAGCAAGCATTAAAATATAATTAATTACAAAAAAATAAACAAAAAACAAAAAAAACAGAGCCACTTACAGGGCTTGATGGAGTCTTTGGCCAGCCTGGGCTGCTAATGCTATCACTTTCATCTCCATGAAATGAGGAGATGCTAGCAGAGCTTGGGGACATTGGGGAAGGGACTGGCAGGTTGCCTGGGGTTGGGGGCTGAGAAATACCCTGAGAGCTGTAGCTATCCTGTGGTAGAGGAATAAAAAAAAAAATAATATGACAAAGGCAGGGCAAACTTTATTAAAAACAAAAAAAATACATCCAGTTTAACAGATTGACCAATTTTTATATATAAAATATATATAAACAGAGAGACACATACAGAAAACACACACATATATAAATATATTTATATATATATATAAAAGGTATTAAAACAACATTGTTAATTAGTATAATTTGGAAAGTTTGCTGGATGCTTGGCTAAAGTCACTAAGCCACCATGCTTATTTCAAGCTCACATGGAATGCTAAGCATGGGTTTCCCCTTATGAAAGAAAGAAAAAAAACAAGCCGTTCACCTTATTTTATTAAATAAGGCAGGAAAGCAAAATATTAAAGTATGTTGCTGCTGCTGAGGCGGCCAAAACAGGAAGCTATAACTGAAGGCAGAGAAAAATGGCTGCAAGTATTGAAACCAGGCAAGACCCTTCTTTCCCACCCACCTGGCACAGCCGAATCCCCACGCAACTTTTGGCTTGGGTTGCTTTGCCACCGCAAGTTAAAATGCCGTAAGAACTAGTAACTTTCAGATCCACACAATGAAGGAAAAAAGAAAAAAGAAAAAAAAAAAAGAAAAGAAAAAAGAGATTGCACGTGAATTGAAAGGCATGCAGGAAAGAACAGAAGTGGGTAGGCCAAAACCAGGAGATGAAGGACAACACAGCAGACTTCTGCGGGCTGAACCAACACCACGTGCGGAGGTGGTAAATACCTTTGACTTGCTCTCGGGTTGGGGGGGTCCTTCTTCTTTGCCATCTGCTTTGAGAGGAAGGGGTAGTTTGGACTCACCAGGTGTCATCATATCTGCAAGACCCATAGGTGCTAATCGAAAACAGGAGAAACAGTTAAGCATGACTACGTTTGGCTTTGTAGGAAAAAACACGCTTCCTGCTGTAAGACTGCGGCGACACACGACGCAGAGGTTATCCCACCTCTGTCCTGTTATTCTAGCGTCCGGAAACCTGGAAACCTCTTCAGTTGAAGTGAGGAAATAAAAGAGAATGAACGAGGGGAAAACACAAGCACCATGCAACAACAACGACCACTTTGCACAGTAAAACTCATTCTTCATGCTGCTGGTGGTCTTCAGCTGTCTCCACATTTGACCACTACATCTTAACAGAACAGTGTCTATTTTAATAACTACTACACCTTCTCTTTAGCAACAGACAAACGTAAATGAAAATGATGTGCATATTGCTTGCAATGTTGAATCCAAGAAAAAGTTGCATCTCTATTAAGGCTGGTGTCCAGCAGATAATTCCTGCCCCTACCGACTTCAGTATGAATGGCTCAGCCATTGTGAGCCTTAACTACCGAATTACAAGCTGTAAACTCCACTCTGTTGGAGAACCAAAATGAGGTGGGACTATAACGAATGCACAAATGTGTATCTCTGATAATGGCACACAGTTGCTTCCCAGGGGTGTGAGTAGTTTAAGGGGTTTTTTTATTTGAAGATGCAAGTGCTAAGTATAGCATTATTGCTGCAGAGCTGCTGGGTTCCTGGATTTCTAGAAAGATGCAAGAAGAAACATTCAGATAAATAGACAGAAAATACTGGGCAGAGCAGATGCTAGGAGGTGCCACGACACTGAATCAATGCAAATAACCAGAGAACAACAGCAAGACACCAGGTGATTCTTCCCCTGCAGAAAACCATGTGCACAGCATGTGTGAAAGACTGGATTATCTTCTCTTTTTACTCCCCCACATGCCATTCTTTCAAAGAAGGATCTGAGATTAAAAAAATACAGGACAGAATAACTGAAAAGGCAATAAAAAGGAAAATCCCAAATTTAAAATTTTAAGAATTGGCAAAGCATCGTTGTTAAAAAAAAAAAAAAAAAATCTGATCATTACCAAACTAGCGTGTCTCTCTGTAAAATGACAATGCTGGCTTGCACTAGGCAGCAGGCACACTGCATAGCAAGCCAAAGATAGGAGGGGGAGAAGAAGCTTTAAAAATACTTCACAGATTGCCCACTACAAAATGATTATTGCACATATTCATGTATTACTATGTTTTAGAAAATAATTAGTTTTAATTACAGCAGTGAGAGCATGAGCAGGACTCTGGCGAATACGCTGGCAAGCTTTGCAGTGCTAATTTGCTAATATCTTTAGCATCACTGCAGGTTGAGACTATGGGTCTGCCAAAAAAACCTACCCAACCATGTGCCACGTGAGTTTACAACTGTATGCTCAATATTCAGCTTTGAACCGACGGTGTTTTTCATGGGCACATTTTCTTGTTTTTTCAAAGCACATTTGTAGCCCAATCAAGCCCTTAAAGTCATCACAACATAAATCATAATTGAGATTTAAAAAAAACAACCCACAAAACTACTTGCAATACTTAAGACTTCAAGAATTGGAACAAAAAGCCTTTTTCAAGTGATGCAGCTGCAGAGAAAAATCTATTGGGATCAGCTAAAAATGTTGTTATTTTTATGTATGCGTGTGAAACCTCAACAAAACAGCCAAGCAATGTGATACTGGGAAGCCAGCATCCACTAAGCATTTCATTGGTAGGCATTTTGCCCTTCACTCCGTTTGAGGAGCTGGAGCAGCTTGTGACCACTATGAAGTGAAGGGTAGCAGCCTAACACATTTTAGTTTTGAATTCCACAGTTTAAAAAAAGGTTATTTTTCTTGCAGAGATTTCTTTTAAAAATACGTGTACAAAATGGTCAAATGTATACCACAGTCTGGTTTCAAACTGGGAAGCAGAACTGTCATATAAAATCCATTTTAACAGTTAGCACATTTCATGCTGTGAAAGCACTAAAAAAGAAGTCTTAGTTTTAGTTTCAAAGCAACCAAAGATGACCCTTCCCCCTTTAAAGCAATTTTAGAGAGGTCAAACAAAGCAAAGTTAGCTACCATGCTTCTTCACCAGAATTCTGCATGGCTAAATCCTCTGCTGATATCTCACTGTTATCTAGGCTGCACATCATATTTCTCTTACAAATAATATATAATTGTCTTGTCAGTGTGAGGTTAATGATTGGACTCTATGATCTTAAAGGTCTTTTCCAGTCTAGGCAATTCTGTGATTCTGTGCCCACTCCTGGTAGTCCTACTTCCATCAGAATTCATTTATAAAATCTTTTCTGGAGAGGTTTAAGTTAACACCTCATGTAAAGGGCAAGTAACTCTAGTCTGAAAATTACCACACATGAATCATGTTTACAAATGTAAAAATACCGATTCATTTTGGCTTTTGACTATTTATTGTTGGCATATGCAAATATAACTATCAGGAGCTGGAGACAATTATATAAAAAAAAAAAAGTTTCCCAAACTCTATTTCACTTTTTGTTTTAAATTATTTACTCCATCTACATCCTTTATTTCTACCTGTAAGAGGAGAACTGCAAGTATTTTACTAGCAAATTGCAAGGTTGTCTAGTTTCCTTATAGCTTTTACCTAAGATGCTTCCACAGCTACTTCTCTATCCACTGTTGAAATGCTGTTTCATAACTTCTTGCAAACGTACTCTCCAGTGATTTGCAAAGAGACATTCCTTCACTTTTTTTAGCAAAGCGGCACAGCAAGAACATTGTTTTGACCCTTTCTGAGCAGTGAAATACTGTTATTGTCACGAAACTGCTAAAATAAGACACAGTCTCTTTCTACACAGGTACTAATAATTCTGTGTGTGAAGTGCAGACCAAAGGATAAAACATTTTAGAGAAGAGGATAACAGGGAAATCTTGACTCAAAAAGTGTTGTAGCATTCTGTGAATAGGTTTCAAGTACTAGCCTCTGGCTTATTATAACAATTTAAGAGCTAGAATGATTTAAAAAAGCAAGTATGGGTCAAGGTCCTGAATTAACTATTCCACACTGAATTTCATGTACTCAAAGGCAGATACTGACATAAGCAAAACTGCAGCAAAGTATTCTTTTTTGCTAAAGGCTGCTCTATCAGTTGCAGAGGATGATGAAATACCATAGGAGCAGCAACACACAAACATTGTTTTTCTCTTTATTGCTAGTGCAATAAGAAATCGCACTCTACAAAACAGAATATTACATCCTTTGTAAGACATTCCTTCCTCCCTTCCACCCCTAGCACTCTCCCTCCTAAAAAAAAAAAGAGAAGAAAAAGAAAAAACAGTGAATTTGTGACTCATGTGGAGTTGGCAAGAGGATCCTCACTGCTTTTATGCCCACAGGAAAAACAGAAGAGGGACAACAGCACTGCCTGATGTCCTGCCAGGAATGACCATCCCCCTCCAGGGAAAAGTACAGCCCAGGAGCCTTATCTGAAAGGGACAAATGGGCCACCAAGGACCTCACTGCCACACCTCCTTTCTGCCAACCATGTCTCATCTGAGGGATGAGAAGCACATGTGGTCTGGGACGTGAGCATCTCTATGCCAGGAGCTGGCTTGATTACAGACACAAAACAACCATCTGATTATGGTCAATGCTTGTTTGGATACAGGTGATGGGATACTTCAGCTGTTACCAACTGCTGACATCCTCCAGAAAGTTTATTTAAATGTGTATTATATAATAGCTCATACAAAGATATGTATTAGAGCAAAAATAAAGTTAAATAAACAGAAGTTTTTCAGAAAAATAAATAATAATTCAAGCTACAAAAAATAATAATTCAGTAAATAATAATTCAAAAAATAATAATTCAAGCTGCAAAACAAAGAAATCCAATTTAAAAAATGATTCACATTCATAAATATGATTGCTTTCTCTATCAGAGGTTCATCCAAATAAATACAAATAAATATATGTGAAAATGTGCTGTATCTATTTTAAACATTATTTTTAAGAGCATCCTTTTAATTCCTTCAATGCAAATAACTTTTCCTGAACTTCATGTTTTATGTAAGTATTACAATGTTAAAAATTTGCTGGAATAAGAATACTCAGAAAATGGAAAGTTTCAGTAGGACAGAGGTAGTGAAATTAGGAAAGGAACCTCGTGGCAGTAAGGAGATTAATGCCTTTTTATTGTTTTGTTCACCTCCAGAGGTAGCAGAGGTTATGAGTGTCAGTTTCTGTGCAAGCACAATATGGAAATGTGTGAGAGCCAAACTCCGTACTACTTATTTTTAAAGATCATCTTCACCAGCATTAACAATGCTCACAGCATGAAATTATTATTTTATTTATGTTGAATTTTGCAACTTTCTTTTTTTTAATGTATTTTTAAAGCCTGAATATAAAAAATAGGAAAAAAAAGATAAAACATATATGGGAAATGGGAACCCATATAACAAAAGGATAGTGGAGGTTATACCATTTTTCTGAATGGCAGTTTGTTCCATAACTGTGAAGGGATTCTGATGCTTTTTCCTGAAGCTATTGGTATTGTTACAGATGGAATACTCTATCAGAAGGGATACTCTATCAGAAGGATCTATCTGCTTTGATCTCATAATTTCTGTGTTCCTGAGCTACCTTACATCAGCAGAAGCTGGCAATCTGTTGTTTGATCCACAGTCACTGTTGAAGTACCAGGATGTAGAACTGCAACACAATTTTCCTTTCAATTGTGACATTAATTACAAAAATAAAATAGAAAGGATCAACTGGTAATAAGGAGTTATAAATACTAACAAAAACGTGTGGTAAAATCAATGTTATACTTAGCTGTACTGAAGCTCCAAAACCATGCTAAAACAATCCCAAACAGCATCACCAATCTTCCTTTATTTTAGAGAGTAAAACCTAAAAGTGCATTTGATTAAAATGAATATAACTAAAACTTACCCTCCTCCCTCAAAACAGGCACTACAACTGCACTCTCCAAAACCCACACAATCAAGAAACCAACTTCTCCCTATTTCTAACTGTAGATTTTCATTTGCCTCTAACTGAAACCATAGTTGTTCCCGCTCAGGGCATGTGAACAAGTCAACTAATGCCCACCCTTGACTCCATCAGCAACCAACCACTCATTTGCATTTGTTTCTGGCCCTACACATGGAATGAACCCTGTTTTATCTGAAAGACATTTGACTTTACACCAGTGGGAAAAAGGCTCAAGAGCCAGACAGCTGAACTGGTGTTTGTGTCACAGAAAATGTCATTTTCAAGCCCGTAAGTAGGTATCACCTGCAAGGTCTCTACCTCATCAAATGTACCTCATCAAATGCAGGGCCAGAGCTGACCCTGGAGAGCTCCCCCAGCTCAAGACATTATCATTTTAAGTACTGTATTTGCACTTGTCTTAAGCTCAGCCTTTCATTTCTTTGACCCAAGCAGAAGGAATAGGGGGAAATGCAGCATTCCCACCGCATGTGCCCCCAGCAGTATATTCACACCTCATTTTCTCTTTGTGTTCTCCCTGTACCAACACAGTCTGTGTGCTCTTGGAGGCTGGCTGCATAAAGCAATACAGTGCAATCTCGATGCACTGTCTGCTCACACACAGAGGAAAAGAGGTGCACTGAACTCCTCTAGTTCATCTCATGCTTACTTTCCATTGGGTAATCTTTGAATTAATAAAACTGGAACAAAAGAAAACCTCACAAATGCACTGGCAGAAAAAACCCTGATAAATGTTTAAATTATTAAAAATCCAATATTTCAGAATGCATAACACAATAAAAAGAGTATGACTACCCCATACAAAAGACTGCTAGGATAAATGGCCTCGCATTGAACAGATTTCCACTGTATGAAATAACAAATGGCTGAATTATCTGAACAAAAAACCCTCTGTGAATCTTCCTTTAAACTGGTTATTCCTTAGGAATACATAAATCTTCTTAGGCAGGGCACTCTGCCATCTGTTTGCTGTTGGTTATTTTTGCAGCTCTGGGGGCCAAAGGAAAAGGGGGAAAAATTACTTCTGCTAATAGCAAAACAGAATTTATAGCACAGTTTCAATGCTCAGAAGTAATTTTATTTCAGCAAGCCAGACAAAACACATAACTACACAAACAAAACATAATATTACCTGGGACAGCTCTGGTGGGGGAAAAGCAAGCTATTATCTAATGCTCTTTTCAATAGCTTTTCCCTCTTCATCCAGACAGTGAAGTGTGCTGTCTGGACTAACCAACGGCTTCCAAGCCTGCACTAGAAAAAGCTTTTTTTTGGTTTCCCTTTTCTTTCCTTTTTATAAAATCTTAATGATTAAGAGCTTCCTTTCTGCTTCTTCTCCTAACCAAAAATGTAACATAATATTCTTGAAAAATAAGACACTGTTAAGTGTCTCAGGAGCTCCTATGTAGAGGAAAGAAACCCTCTAGACATACTAGACACTAGGATCTCACAGTGGCCATTTTCTGCCCAGGAAGCAGAGCAGGGCCATATAAAATTGACAGAGGAAGGAGGCAAAGGATGAAGGAACAAAACAAGCTAAGCAGGGCAGAGAGGAAGGTACTGAAGCACAGGCTCTTGGTAAGATACAATCTAGGTAGTAAGGCATCTCTAAAGAAACAAAAGTAAACTAAGAAACAAAAGCAAATCACCTTAGCACAGCCTACACAGCTTTCATAAAAACTTCAAAACACCCAACAATTCAAAAAGGACTAATGCAATCAGTAAAGCATGCACAGAAACTCCATGACTGGAATAACTATTTGGGAGGATTCACTTCAGGGTCACTGAAACTCCATCCAAACCCACCCCAATCAAATAACTGATCTTTACTGAAGTATTATCTTGATGGAGGATAATTGTTTGGAGTTCAAGCTGAATATGGACTATAAAGCACATTTGCACAGAATTACATTCACCTATCTTCAGTCACACACAAAGCTGCAAAGAATTCTAAATTCACAAGTCATGATATGAAGGATAAGTCCAGAAGCTAAATTGAATTTTTTTTTTTTTTTGCAAAAGGAAGCTATGATTAAATTTCTTATACTGATATTTAAATAAGTAAATGAAGAAACCCTATATATGGTTATAGAACAATAAATATGGCCTATGCTTTCAGAACAGAGTAATTATTTTATGTGCTCAACTTACAGCATCTTCAAGTCAGAGCAGGTGCTCATCTCTTTAAACCAGTACAACATTAAGTATCTGAAATTGCAATCTTGGGAAGTGAGACACTGAAAAGCAACAGCAGTCCCTTAAAAGATGAGGTTTTTCCCCTTCCCTCTCTTGCAGACACATATACACACAAATATCCGTAGAGTTGCTAGTCAACACCTACGTCAAACAGGGTCCGAGTGTTGCTGGAACTGTTCAAAACGTTGTACTCATCCACATGCTGTGCAAAAGGACTTAATGAAAAATGTGTAAGTTACTGTGCAAAAGAATGTGAATACCTTCACTTAGTTTTGAATCACGCCAAACTACCCAACAGGATCGAATCGAATGAAGAAGGCTGTCCCTCTGCCACCAGCCCAGGGCTGGTACCATTACACAGATTTACGGAGGAAGGCCACTGCTGAAAGGTTACCCACCATTACCTGTTGAACTGTTCACCATGTTGGGTGCCATGCTGTAAGGAGGAGCCTGCGGGTTCATCAAGCCGGAGCTGTTGTTCATCGGCTGAGTGTATGGGGAGCTGGAGCCCATAATACCGCTCTGATTCATGGCAGGAAAATTGCCTTGCCTACGAGAAGAAAAAGCACACACACGATGTCTCATTATGTACCTCATTGCTGAAGGTACCGTGGTTTGTCACAGAGTACATCTCCTATTGTTGGCAAATAGCTAAGGAGAAGCCACGCAATTAGTTCGTTTTACTTACATGGGGAGCTATTAGTCTTGAATTAGTTACCGTATATCTGAGACAGAACTGGACTGAACACAAATTTCAAGAGATGCATTAAGTGTCTTTATACATCACAACCAATCAGCAGAAAAATACAACCCTTATTATTTATCCTATGAGTACAGAGCAATGTGAGCAGGAGTCAAAATTAGAACCTAGGGCTAGCATAAAAAAATTTCAGCAAATTGCAAGTTTGACCATGTAACAGAAATCCTTGCCTGCCATAGCTTAAAAACCAGTGGAATGACCAGAAGAAAAACGGGTACCATGGAATCTGTTTCAGATTTCTGCATCTGATGTTACTGCACACACTTTGTTTCCTGTAAAGCACTACCAATGCCAGGGTGCAAAGGAGAAATTCAATTGCACGTGAGCATTTATCTCGAGCATAACTCATGACCTAAAGTGGCATTCACAAAACTCCCATTGAAATCATATACATGTAATTTCCTGCTTCTCCTCTTCCTCGAAACAGCTGTTAAAAAAATTAATAACACAACAGACATTCCCATTTCTAGTACTGACGTAGGACCCAAAGTCACTGTCATTTAGCAAACGCCATTAAAGTGACCATAGATGCGACTGAAGCACTGAATAAAATATTCCTCCTGTTGTAGATGCCATCTATGTCCAATCTTTAAAAAAAACATGTACATATTACACTTTGTTGAAACAAGAAACTTCACAACTATTTTGCTTTTGAAAATTAATCACATATCTGTATAATGCGTGCATAACCGAGACTTTAGTTTGGCTGAAAAACTGCCCTGAATGAAGCCCTTACCTAATTCTCCACACCTTCAGATGTGAAGATCTTCAGACCAAATATTTTTGAAGGTTAAACCTTATCTTAAGTTCTCTTAAGATACTCTTTAAGTTCTAAAAAGTATGCTTTGTACTTGACTTAGCAAATTCTAGATATAAACAGAGGTACAAGGAAGAAAATAATCAAATCAAAGTAAGGAGAATAACCCAATGTAACGCTTGATGACCCAACTTCAAAAATAACATTTTATGCTTTTAATCCATAATACAAATATATTTTCTTAGTATAGCTGGAGACTGCACATATTATGACATGTATATGGATATAGACTTCTACATATAAAATCACATATATCGATAAAAACACATGCAAAAATCTACTTGCTTGTATATTCATAGCCTACATAGGAAAATACAAAATTCAAACCTGTTTCTTCATTGTACCCCCTGTAAGTTTATGCTGTTTTTCCAAATAAAGGAGACAAGAAAGGAAGCACCCAGCCCTTTACATAGCTTTGGTACCTGTCTGTTTTTTTTCCTCTCACAAAAAACAAAGCACTTATTTTCATCCTACAGGTAGGGAATGCTGCACGTCTTGGTAGTAAGATGCAGTTTTGGTATAAATTCTACTTTTCATTATTATATAGTACTCAAACAAAACAGAAAACCCCCAAAACCCACTTCTTGTCTTCCCTGAACTCAGAGCAGATTCTTAACGCAATTGGCAGAAACAGATTTCTTTTTTCAGAGGTACAGGAGGAAGACCATTAAAGCACTATTTGGCCTAATTTTTCTTGACACATTGTGAATTTCTTCAAAGGAAAAGAGAACGTGTTATCTAAATAAAGCATCTTTTTCCAAGTCAGTTTTGTCCTTTGCTCTCTGAAGACAAACTTTTCTTCACTCTTGCAAAGAGGCAAAGGCTTTCTTTTGATATGAAGGAGACAGCTGCCATACAATGTCATTTCCCTGATGAAGCTTGCAATGAGGAGTGGAGGGAGAAGATTTAAAATGCACAGTGGTGCAATGCTCCAAGGGAAAATTACAAAGGGAAAAGAGAAGAGCAGGACCATTTGGCAACAACTTTAGAAGATTTCAGTCACATAATCGAGCTTTTCTTATGTAAATATTGTATCTTAAACACCCTCACCCCCCCTTTTTTAGCTGAAAATTGCTGTATTTCAACAAATGCAGTTAACTGATGTTATTTCTATGCTGGATAAGCAAGATCCTTTCCGTTACTGGCTATAGTTACTAGCAAAGATGATGAAAGTGTGCAAGCACATTTTTACACTTAAAAAAGAAGTAATTGATTTTGAAAGATTCTTTTATGGAGGCAGGCTGGGATTCTGGAAATTACAGAAGTCTCTACAGGTATCTATCGCTCTAATGTCCTTTTGCTTTAAAAATACACAGGAGATATGCACCTTGCAGGTAAGATGAAACTGGTCCTCACCTACTAATTTTTCAATGCTACTACTTCCTATAGCATGTGTATCTTCTAAGCTATGGGGCAGTTCATTGTCTCAAATTGAGGTACAACCTATTTCATGTTACTCACTATGGACATCAATCTCAATTGTAGTTCATGAAAGCGCACTGCTGTACAACAGCTTTAAATCAAAAAGTAGGAAACTATTTCCAGTTTAGATGGAGAGTGGAAATTAAATAAAAGGAATATACTAGCTTTGGCCAGGACAGCAAGAAAACAACTGAAGTCTAAAAAAATTGCTTCTGTACCCAGAAAGACCTGAATGGCAGAACCTAATTCTGAAATTTCATCTGGCAAGGCAATACATTTCCCTTTCATCCTCCCGTGTAATGCCACACTTGTAACGGACACAGCTCTCCACCTCTGGAAAGAGCCCAGCACGTGAAAAGACTCAGCACCATCCCTGGCAGAACTTAGTCCTTCCCTGGTCCCCTAGCACAGCACTGACCGCAGCACACATGAGCTAATTCAGTAACGCTGAAAGGCGACATCCTGTAAGAGTAAACGTTATTTTATCTTGAGACTGGATGCAGTGTGCAGTACAGAGCTCCTCCACATATTCTTCTGCTCTAAGATGCCTTGGAATGGAAAGTTTCTTTAGGGAGAAATAATCAGGCTTACTTCAGCCTTTAATTCTCACTCCACAGTGGGCCTCCTTTGAGTAAAGACTGCCGACTGTGACAAATTGTGCTGCATCAGTGCTAGAATATGAAGTGGAGTCCATTAAGAACTGAGCTGAGATCACCAAACTCATTTTGATTAACCTCCAGGTCACTAAACACTTATAAATATGTTACACAGCAGCTGCTAAACATATTTATATATGCTTAAGGTCACAGCATCATCTGTTGGTTGTTGGAGTTAAGTCAAAAATCTTACGTTTCCTTCTGTGCTGCTTTTAGTGAAGGCATATCCAACATACTATTTAAGAAGT